TGCATCATTTAGTCAAGAGGCAATGTTTGCTAGTTTCGCGGAGACTAGTGACTTGTCCCAAACCTAGAAGGGTGAGTTTGAAAGCTTAAGGAACGAGCTTTTGTTGTTATCGGTCTAGAAGGGTGGACCCAGTTTAAGTGTAAAAATCGAAAAATGATAACAAGTGTTGGTACCACATGGCATGAGTTGCATTGGGTTGCATTGAGTCACATGAATAATGTGTATTGTTGTATGAAAGTATACTCGTATGTGAATTATTGAATTGAGAATTATGGATATGTACATGATGAAACATGTTTTATGATTATCCATGTGTATTAATACATGTTGTGAAATGTATGATGAGTTATGAATGAATTGTGGTGAGAAATGTGAAATATGTGTATATTATGCTTGTGTATATGTATATAATTATATGCATTGATCATTATGATAATATTTCTCACCCTTCTGCTGTTTTATGATGCTCTATGAGGCATTGCAGATTAGCTTTGATGGAGGTCTTTTGTGAAGTATAGCTTCATTCTTTTGGTCGGTTATGCTCTGATATGTAGCACCGGGTAGTTAGAACTGTATAGTATTCCTTTGTGATACATCTTGTATATGTATCTGATGGCAAATGTTTTGTAAAACAACTGAATGATATGTATTTAGATGATAACATGTTTTAAATGATTTAATGTTTTAATCTTTCGTTTAATTCTAAATATTGAGATGTGGGTGTAAAGATTAAAGTTCCTATGTTGAACTACCCCACTGTTGCATGTCTTTTATCGAGCAGGTGTTGTATGTTATTTTGGTGAATGATGTGGCATACTTCTTTTATACCATGTTTCAAATTTACTCTGATGAAATTTTATTATGTGATTTATTTATTTGTTTGGGGGTATAGAAGGGGGTGTTACACAAACCTCAATTTTTGTTACTGGAAATATCAAAATTTCCGATTTTTTAGAAAACTAGTTTTGTATCTTACCAGAAATTTCAAAATTTCCGGTAGTTTATAAAACTAGTTTTGTATCTTACCAGAAATTTTGAAATTTCTGGTAGTTATAAAAATTTAGTTTTATATCGGATTTTAAAATTTCCGGTAATTGTTGCCTTTTTTTTCCTAGTTGTTTTTTTTCTTCTTTTGCATTAAAAACCATAGGCAGAGACGGTACTATTGCAGGGAGAGCTGCAGATCGAGGATCAGATCAGAGTAGGGCTGCTAGTGGTGCTGATGTTGAGTCTTCCCATCTACAAGCAGGACGAGTGGTCCCTACCGGTTCACACCAGAAGCGGATGGCGGAGCGGGGGCATTTTCGGACACCTCGTTCTATACGACGTCGACCAGTTAGATCAATAGATCAAACTACATATGAGGTGTTGGCGGACGTTCCTATAGTTGAGCTGATGGTTAAGCCAGTGGTTGAGTCGGTGGTTGAGCTGGTAGTTGAGCCAGTGGTTGAGTCGGTGGTTGCTCAGGTAGTTGATTCGGTGGTTGTTCGGGAGTTTGTCGAGAAAGTTGCTCGGGAGGTTGTTGAGGAGGTACGACCAGATGCTATTGTTGGTGAGTCAGACCTATCAATTACTATTGAGATAGAGGTTACGGTTCCTTCAAATGAGCCATTTGTGCATAATGATATAGGATTTTCAAGAGGACCCATCGACCGGTCTGTGCTTATAGAGTATGGTGAGCATGTGGCCTTACGATTATGGCAGGGCGAGGTATATGTCTTTTACGTTTAAATTTTTAAAAAAATTTATATATGTAGAATTTCTTTAAGTATGAACTAATTTATTTATATTTTTTTTTCATAGGAGAGACCCGCACTGAGGATTACATCTCACGGGTCGAAGATGAAGCACTTCCCAAAGATTTTGATGCCTGAGCAGGTCAGTCAGATTATACGGGACCTCAGGCTATTTAATTTCACCCACTGCTCACTCACCATATTGGACGCTCCATTGCTTAGTGCCTTTGTTCAGAGGTGGCACAAGGAGACATAATCGTTTCATCTTCCATTCAGGGAGATGACTATCACTCAGAATGATGTCACCATGTTCTTCCATCTCCCTATCAGCGGCAGATTTTGGATGGCTCTGATTCTTAATGTAACTACTGTTTGTCAGATTGTGTCACATGATTTGAGTTTTCCTAAGGCGGAGGTCCTGAATGAGTTTGGTGATACTAGAGATGCACACCTTCGTATGCACTGTCTTCGGAGGATTTACGATGAGCTTGTTGTTGCTGGGAGATATGAGGTTGAAACTAGGGCGTACATGCTAAATGTAGTAGCATATACTCTCTTTGCGGACAAGTCTAGTACTTATGTTAATGCCTGATATTTGTGTATCTTCAGTAACCTTGAGGAGACCAAGTGGGCTTAGGGGTGTGCAATGTTGACCTAGTTGTATACAACACTTGGAGTGGCGACGGTTTTTGAGACCAGACACCTTGTTGGGTATTTGAGTTTGTTACAAGTATATTTTAAATTATTTTATGTTATTGATTTCATATTTATCTTTTACGAATATCATTTCTAAATTATTATTTGTTGTGATTTTAGTGCTAGATCTACGAGTATTTCCTACCATTTGTGACATGAGGGTGCAACATTGTGAGGTGGGGGTCCCACAGGCAAAGAGGTGGAAGGGAAGACAGACATATCTTAGTGGTCTAGCTGAGTACAGGAGGAGGCTGGATGTGCTGACCATAGATGATGACATCTGGACACCATACGATGCTTATAGAGTCCACCATGAGTTCGAGGAGTCCTCCTTATATTCAGGTTATATGCGGTGGGAGACCATGGTTGCGAGACACTTTCCTGAGAGGTGTCTGCAACAATATGACTATGTTCAGAATATACCACAACTAATTCTTGATATTCCATCTTTAGGGATTGAATAGTGGTTTCAGAGTAACTTTCTCAGCTCCGGTCATACCATCAGAGATCAAGTGGTTCCTGTTTAGCACCCCTCGTAATGTGAGGATGGTTTCTTAGAGTGGTACCTCGTTGTATCACATCCACGCATCACCCCACCCCCAGTTGATGATGGGCCTTTTGATGACCAGGTGCCTATTGATGATGCACTGCTGCCTCCTCCTCTAGTAGATCGCGCTGATGACCAACAATGCTTCTAGATGATTGTAGTGATTATAGATGAGCTCATGGGTTTGGTAAACCTAAATGGTGACATTTATTATGTATTAGCTCGGATTGCACACATAGCTCGTGGGGGGCCCATTTAGATGTATTTTATATTATTTGTATTATATGTATTATATGTATATTATTCAAACATCTTTCTCAGAATATTTTATTAGCTAATATTAGTGATCTTCCTTAAATTGCAGTGTGAAGGTTAGCTTACATCTGACAATGATTTTCATAACTTAAACATAAAACACTTAACATTACAATATAATTAATAAACAAGAAAAACCTAAACACTAGCAGACGCTTCAGGACGTTTCAGCATCTTCATTATGTCGTCAACGGATCTTGACAACTTCGCATCTAACTCGACCGGACCCTTTGTTAACCCTCCCGTTTGTATCGATCCAATCTTCATGAAACTCGATCTTTCTCACCTTTCTATTGTCGTCATCTGGCAACAATTCATTCAACTTCGACGTCAGGACGACAAAAGAGGTGGTGTCATCAGGAAGCTTGAACTCTACAAAAGGAGAAGTTTCGTTGAAGTAAACTTTTGCCTTAATCATAAATTGAGGAAGATGCATTTTTTTATGATGTGTTTCTCAACAAGAGGTGACCCCAATATATACCACTGTGAAACAATTATGGACCACACAAACTTTCAGTGTAATCACAGCCGCACAATATTGTCGACAAAATCATGACCATCCAAAAAACCCTAAAAATGAAACTACCGAAAATTTCACATTAAATGAAATTTCCGGTATACACTCGGAAATTTCATATTTCCGAAATAATTTGCACTTCATCGAAAATTTCAAATGAACTACCGAAAATTTTAAACTTGTACCGAAAATTTCTAACAGAAATTTGATGTGTTTTTCTTTCAGGGGCGATTTTGACATTATGAAAAATTGAGGGGTGTCGAGTTTAATTGTGGAGGTGGCAGGTAGAATCCTCACTGTATCCGTACCTATGTATTATTGCAATTTTGTCATACCACTCAAATAAACTATCTACTATCTCTGTTTTGTTTTAAAATAATTGTCGTTTTAGAATATTTTTTTAAATGAATATCATTCTCACTTTTTAATTTAAAAATTATTGTTATTTTTTAAATTATACCTTTTAATTATTATTTGTATACTATTTTTAACACATTTATAATATTAATGTCATTATATTCTTAAATTTTGTATACAAAAATCTTAAACACACTAATTTTAAAACGAAAGGAATATTAAATAAATTTAAAATAATGATTAAAATTAGAGGCAAAATTAGAATAGGTTGCAAAATTGTTTGTTTTTAACACAACTGCTAGTCATAAGATGACTTTCAATAACAAGATTTAAAATACAAAAAAAAAACAACTGCTAGTCACAAAATGACTTTCAATTACAAAATTTAAAATACAAAAACTTTTCCTGTCAACTCCAATAGCTACACTATTATATTCATAAAAAGAAAACAGCATTGCTAGCTTAACACCAATTTATTACACCGTATGCTAATTACACCGTATGTATCCAAGTGTTTTAGTATTGCACAGTTATCAAAGTAAAACAAAAATTATTAAAATAATAATAAGTATGTATTTAATATATAATATACGGTGTGGATGTAAAATGTAGTGTCATGGAAGCATTTCTCAAAAGAAAAATACACAAACCCAAAACTCAAACTTTATTTAATTCTATCCGGATATGAATCAACAAAAATTGATGTATTTAATCTAATATATAAATCAAATCATTAAATTTTCGTTGATTGATATATCTCTTATTAAAAGGACCGGTATCAGAGACCAAAGTGTCTTTACATCAATCTTATTCATCATAGGAAGAAAGGATTTTAAGAGGAAGGTTTCATTTCAGATTTGATTGCATCAACCAACTGATCATAAGCTTCTCCCCATGCATTCTTCATATCTGGTGACCACATTTCAGGCACTGCATCTTTTATTGTCTCCAATAGTGCAAACTTTGTCACCTACACAAAATCAAAAACAAACAAGATCAAATATCATTACCACTTGCACAAAAAAAAAACACACTCATTCAAAATTTATATACCTCAAAATGCTCATCTACTACACTATTTTTAAAATGTGTAGCACCTAATTTTTTCAAGCTAGAGTCTCTCACTGTGACTTTCCCAGCTTTTCTTAATTGAACTGCTGATTCACATGTCTGCAACAAAACAACAATATTATAAACTGTTTTTTTTATTTATTAATCCAAAAGTCCTCTTATAGTAACTTACCATGAGAAAGACAGACATGGCATGAGGCTTGAGCTTGGTGTTTTGCTCCAAAGGAACATTTGAATCTTTCAAGAATGAGAACAGTTTTTGAGCTGATGGAGCAATCTCAAATATTCTACAAAATTACAAGTTTATTTTTTCAGTTCAACTGTTAAAATAATCCTTCTGATCCTTAAAAAAATTATATTTAGATTCAATATATCTAGACTACATATAATCCAAAATCATTGATTATTCGATAAATGTAAAAAGTAAATTTTTTCTACCATAGGAAAGAAAAAAAATGGTTTGTTAATAATTACTTTAAGAAAAACTTGAGGGCTAGTTCTGCAGAATTCTTCTTCATTGCATGCCATGACTTTACCACAAGAGCTTCTTGCTCTTCAGTGAAACCTTTTGTATCCAAAGTGCTCATATTTTTGAACTATTATAAATTGTGATGGGAGTGAGAAAATGGTTGATGTTTAGAGGTTTGTAGGGATATAGATTTTATAGTGAGATTTGATTGAGGATGAAGTTGGCCCTTGATGCCATTGGGAGGTCATTCCTGATTCTTTGGCTGACGTGTTGGTCAAAGAGTGGAGGACCATAATGAAACCGGGTGCCTAAAAAACTAGGTGCTACTATATTTTTGTTGCGATAAGAAAATGGTTTTGTACCATTCAATGTAACTAGATTTGGTTTATCTATTTCTAACTAGTTTACCAATGTATGCGTAATCCATGAGCATTTCATGTTGACTATTTTAATTCGTTCATATGGTTTATTACTTTAATCAATCTTGTTTTATGAGTGACGCACTAATTAGAGGGCCCGTTTTCCCCCAAATTTTTTTAAGTTGCGTCAAGATTTTCTTTAATATGGTCCAATTTTTTTCGACTTTTCACGGAGTGGACATTAACCAAGATTTGTTTTTTTGTAATTTTTAGTTTTTAAGAGCACAAATTTTGCATGTCTATTCTGCTCAACCCTCCTTTATTTAGGACATGCTAAGATTTTTGGTCTGAACTCTCATTTAAATGTTCCGTTTTTTAGAGACTTTTGTAGACAAGATATTAATAAGAATATTTATAATTTTTAATCTTTAGAAGTACAAGATTTGCATACCCTTTTTTTTTTTTTTGACTCATCTATGTTTCATGTTTGCTTTGCTTTTTGCTCTTTTTTTATCGTCTTTTGTAAGGCAGGTCTAGGGGTGTAAGTCAATCATAAAAAATATTGAACGCATAATTTAAACTAAATCAAATTGAAAACAAAATTGAATTTTTTTGATTTGATCCAAAAACCGAATCAAGCTGATAAAAACCGAAGTGGCTCAATGTGATTTTTGATCCGAAGTGGCTCAATGTGATTTTTGATTTTAATTTTTAAGAACCGCCAAATCAGTAAATCGAACTGATAGTTATAGTTACTATTTTTTCAATTTTAAATTCTCTTAATTAATTTTTTAATTTTTCTATATATTTTTTCTTTTTATGCGGAGAAATTTCATTTAATTTTATTAGAAAATAATTTTGACGTGTATTTAGAGTATTTAGATGTAAAGAATGTTAATTTTTGTGTATGAAAATATAATGTTGTTATTATTGTGTTTTATTTGTTAATTTGTGTAGAGTAAATAGAAGTTTGTTAAAAAAAATAAAGTATTAAATAGATGACAAAGATTATATCAAGAGTATTATTTTAAAACATAGTATAAAATATATTAATATTTATTTTTTTATTATATTTTTATTATTTACTATTTCTCTATCATTTTTTATATAAATTATATAATACTATTATTATTAATGAAGGGTAATCCTGTAAATTCTCACACAATTCTATTTATCATTCAAATTTATAAGAAATAATCAAAATATTATATAATCTAAAACAGAATTAGTAATATATTTCAGAACATATCTCGAATTTTTTTTTAATGTATCTAGGTTCTTCTCAAAAAATACCAAATAAATTAAAGTTTCAAAAAATTGACAAAAGTAGTCAAGTATCAACCTTGTGTCTCCGTTTGGTTTGGCGACTCAGGCAAAACTTTGAGGTATCGCCGTATGGATTGGCGACAGCGTCTATAGGGGATGTGCTGGGTCGCCAATTGGTTTGGCTACCTGGCCCAAATACTTTTTTTTTCTCTGTTAGGGTTTACGAATTTAATTTAGTTTAAATAATAAAAAAAATAATTAAATTAAATTTAAGTTATTTAAAATATTTATATAAATTGAATAGGTATAATTAAAATATTTATACAAATTGATACATTTTAATTAAAATATTTTGTTATACATTTTATAAATTAATAAGTATAGTTTAATAATATAAATAAACTTAAATTGATTTAGGGATAATTAAATTTAAAATAACAAATGTAATTGTAATATAATTTTAAAATACATTTTAAATATATTAGTGATTTAAAATAAAAATTGATTTAAATAATAAATATTGTTTTTCAATTATAAATATGTTGAAAATTTTAAATTTGAAATGAATTTAAATAAAAAATAAAAATGGATTTATATATAATTTTTAAACACAATAAATATAAATAGGTTTAAATTTTAAAACATAATAAATATTTATAATTAACCATTGAATTTTAAAGTATATAAATTTTGTAAGAGTATTTAAGACATATCATATGGGACAAATAGTATTTTATTTTTCTATAAATACCACTGCAAACACACATATGTTTCCACAGTATACTAAAAGACTGAAGTGTTAACAATTTTGAGTTACCAAGGGGTCTAAAATTTTAAATCAACGTTCTTCGTCGTCGTCATCAGAGGAACCATTTCCAACATTCAATCTAATGAAAAGAAATGTGCTAGTTTTTTCCAGCAACAAAGCCTCTGATGAAGGCGCTCCTGTGTAATACGCAGATGTTGGAGCACTTGCATAAGGAACTGAACCGCTGACTAGAAGGAGATATTGCTCCAGGAGAAAAGATTAGGAAAATTGAGAGGTTGGTTGAGGAGGCTGGGAGAAACAGAGTTACTTGTGAATGGAGAAAAGTGGAAAATGATGTTGGTGTCCTTGTGATGATGTTAACACCAAAGAAGATAACGTTGAGGGTCGTGATATCGTAGACGCCTTGGTGCATTGTTCTGTTTTATGTCTTTATGTTGTTGTTATTTTTAGAATGTTGTTGTGATATTAAGTTATGTTTGTTTAATTTATGTTGCTTGGTAATTGTAATCGGTTTAGTATGCTTTAAATGGAATGAAATTTGCTATTGATTTAAAGGGACACGATTACATATGAAACTATGATCAGCTGCTTGATCCTACCTTAGGACATTTTGTACGATTGTGTCCTGGTTGCTGACACGAACTACATAATCTTACCATCTTGTCTACGGTATCCATCTTCGTTCGAATGCGCGTGCTGTTAGAGCGACCCTTTTTATTTTTGTGCATCAAGTCATTATGCCATACAATTTCGCCTTCGTATTGAGGCCAATAGTCCTCCTTTGCCACCACCTGAAAGCTACATGTGTAGACATTGCATAGACTTATCACTTGGTGAACTGCAAAAAGAAGGTTGGTTGGGTCCTGGCGCACCTTCGAACATGTTGCTATAACATGAGAGCAATGCATACAGAATGCCTAAAACTTCCCACAGTCACACCAGCTCTTATCCAGTTTAACACGGTAACATCCTCTAGGCCTTCCTTCGTTATGATCAATCTACTCGACAACACTGAACCAACCATTATTATGGTCAAAGATTGTGACCACATGTGTGTTGGCTTTGGCAGCTTCATCTTCATGAATTTCATTGAAGTATCACTGTACAGCTGACCCGATTGTAATACTGAACCCCACTTCGTACGTCTGCTATCAAAGACTGCGCCTAGCCTAAAATATGTTGCCTTAACCAAGGCAGTTATCGGTAGGTTTCTGATTCCCTTGAAAACAGAATTCATTGATTCAACGAGGTTAGTTGTCATGTGGCTCCATCGCACCCCATTGTCGTATGCCTGTGTCCATTTCTCTCGATCAATGTTATCAATCCATCTTAATGCATCCATGTTTGTTAGTCTGATCTCGTCACTGTAGTATTTGAATGTGGGTTCTGTTAGTGCATATCCTGCGTTCACAACCTTCTTCCGTATCGTCTTGTCTTTGATTTCCTGCATGAAATTTTAGGAAGTATGTCTTATGCAATAGACATGGGTCGAGGGAGGATCCTGCCAACCGTTATCAAAGTTGTTGTATGCACTCTCGATTGATGGGTGCCGATCAGAGATCAAACATAAGTTAGGTTGGGGAGACACGTAAAAGCGGATATTTTTTAAGAAAAAACTCCAACCCCCAGCGGTCTCCCCTTCAACTATAGCGAAGGCTATTGGAAATATGTTGCCGTTCCCGTCCTGTGCCACAACCATGAGTAGGGTGCCCTTATATTTCGCCAAAAAACCATTTTTTTTTCTATTTTTAATGATTTATTTACTGTTTTCATATAGTCGGAAAAATCAAAAAAATTCTCAAAATTCTATTTTTAAGTCATTAGATTAATTTCGGTGTTATTTTATTTTTCTGAAGTTTTTTTGATCAATTTATTTCTTTTTGCTTGTTTTTGCCTTTTAGGGACATTGTTGGCATTTTGAACATTGTTACTGCATTGCTGTGCATTAGTCCTGGCAACTAGGTTATCTTGTTCTGAACTTGTTGTTTTTGATCCTGAAGTAGAGAGAACTTTGCACACACGACGTAGAGCAGTCCAGGTTACCACTAGTTCACCACCATCACCCACCATTAATTTTGAAATGGCTGACAATAGAACTCTAAGGCAATTAGCCGCACCTGATGTAAATTATAACGGTTTATGTATTGAGTATGTTGCTGATGTTGTTCCTTTTGAGTTAAAATCGGGTTTAATCCATTTGTTGCCCAAGTTTAGTGGTCTTGCAGGTGAAGATCCTCCAAACATCTGAAAGAATTTCAAGTGGTGTGTTCTACGCCATTGAAGCCTGAAGGGATCACTGAAGATCATATCAAACTTCGAGCTTTTCCTTTTTCATTGCAGGGTGCAGCAAAGGATTGGATATTCCCTCGAGCCAAATTCAATTGCAAACTGGAATGCTCTGAAAAAAGTGTTCCTTGAGAGATACTTTCCTGCATCCAGAGTTGTCTCGATAAGAAAGGAGATTTGTGGTATTAGACAGGGTAACGGGTCATTGACCAAGTATTGGGAGAGATTTAAGCATTTGGTATCCAGCTGCCCTCAGCACCAGATCATCGAGCAACTACTCTGAAGGTGAGAAAATACTTAGAAGGGGGGGGGGGGGTTGAATAAGTATGAAGAATAAAACTTAGAAATAAAAACTCAAGTATTTTTATCCTGGTTCGTTGAACTCAACTACTCCAGTCCACCCTTCCTAGAGTGATTTTCCTTTCTCAATCAAAGACT